CAACATGAGGATCAGATAAAAATCCAGTATCTACATAACCAATAAGGTCAACTTTAGATACTTTGGAATAAAACAATCCCATATCTATAGTACCTCTAAGATAATGAAAAATGTGCTTAAGACCATTCCAACGCCTTCGTGTTGGTGAAGAATTGTATCTCGCTAATAAGTTAACAACAAATGAGATATCAAGTCTCATGTGACTAGCAAGATGCATTAGTGCTCTAATTGCACTAAGATATAGTACTTTTGGGCCAAGTAGTTTTTCATCACATTTTTAAGATCTAAAAGGGTCTTTATCTACCTTCAATAATCTTATAACCATTGGGGTATATAACAGATGTGATATATCCATACAAAATCATTTTAAGACCTTTCTTGTATAAGTTTCTTCATATAGAAAAATCCCATTATTCATATATTCCATTTGCAATTCAAGGAAAAATTTTATTCTTCCTAAATCTTTCATTTTAAATTTTTTCTTTAAGCAATTAACAGCTTTTGAAAGCTCTTTAGGTGTTCTAATGATATCTATGTCATCAACATAAATAGCAATTATAGCAAACTTTTTTCCAGATCTTTTCATAAAAATACAAGGACAAATTGGATCATTTTTATATCCTTCTGTCAATAGATATTTACTAAGTTGATTATGCCACATACGCCCTGATTGTTTCAATCCCTATAAGGATTTATTTAACTTGATCGAATAATTTTCTCGAGAGCTTGAATTGTATGCTTCTGGCAATTTGAATCCTTCAAGGAGTTTATGTAAATGTCACTATCAAGTAAACCATACAAAAAAGCTGTAACAACATCTATTAGACGCAACGAGTCTTTCACTTATTGCTAAGCTAATTAAATATTGAAAAGTAGTTGCATCTACCACTGGTGAGTATGTTTCAACAAAATCAATTTCAAGCCTTTGTGTAAATCCTTGAGCCACAAGCCGTGCTTTATATCTTGCAATTCACCATTTTCATTTCTTTTTCGCACAAGAACCCATTTATATCTAACCGGCTTGACATCTTTAGGTGTACAGACTATAAGTCCAAAAACATTTCACTTTTCAAGTGATTTTTTTTAATACAAGGCCATGGTGAAAACCGTGCAAGAGACCAAAAATTAGGTTATGTCGGAAGCCATAAAGCTTCTACATTCAATGGGTGGTCTATCAAAGAAAGTAGTATCAAAATTATCCTCTGAAGCCATATGGGCGAGACAATCGGCACAACGGTTGGATTTTCAAGTGATTTTAATTCTGCCTCAATTGCATCTTTTCATTTTGGCCAATTCTCTCTTTGTTTGCATTCCTTAATGAACTTTTGTTTATGATCCTCGTTATCATTTATTACATCAAGCGCGACATTATATGCAAAAATATCATCAACGTTGACTTCATTCCGATCCCATTATATTCTATTCATAACATAATTTATTGAGATCTCATTATTTTCACACATTTTAGGTACCTGAGTTTCTTCTGAAATTGAAATATTAGTAGTGTCAAGTGACTCTTTATAAGTTACTAATTCTTCTTAATTATCCTTGATCTGACCATATGTGTTTCTAGCTCCCTTTTTTTTCAAAAATTTTTATCTTTGGAACCAATGGGCCTTCCACATTTTATGCGTGGTTTAGAATCATTTGCAATAACAAGCTGTCCAACTGAGACATTAATTCTAATTAGAGTATTAGCAACTAAAATGTGTGATTTAGTTACTTTCTTTAAGTTAGTAAATGCATTTGATAATTGATTTGCTAAATTTTATAAATGAATTATCTTTTAAATTTCTAGTTCATATTGCTTTGTACGAGAATCAAGACGAAATAATGATAATTCATTTCAACTAATTTCTTTTTCCAACTGCTAATTTTCTCCCCCTAATGTTAGGAAAATTGATTCATCAAAATGATAATCAACAAATCGAGCAGTAAATAAATCTCCTGTTAATGGTTCTAAATATTTAATTATAGATGAAGATTCATACCCAACGTATATTCCCATCCTTCTTTGAAGACCCATCTTAGTACATTATGGTGGAGCAATTGAAACATATACTAAACATCCAAAAATTCTTAGATGGGAAATATTAGGTATCTGACCAAAAATCAATTCTAAAGGAGAGCTCTTAAGATAACTTGTTGGCCTGATATGAATTAATGATGCTACATGTAAAATTGCATGCCCCAAGTAGAAATTGAGAGATTCAATGCATAAGTAATGGTTGTGCAATCAATTGTAAGCGTTTAATTAGTGATTCTACAAGTTCATTTTGTGTATGAACATGTGCTACAAGATGTTCAACATTAATTTCAAGAGACATGCAATATTCATTAAAAGCTTGTGAAGTGAATTCACTAGCATTATCTAGACGTATATTAATAAGATAATTAGGAAAGTGTGCCCTTAATCTAAGAAGTTGAGCAAGCAATCTTGTGCTAGGTTACGAGAAGATAACAAGCAAACATGCGACCATTTTGTTGATGCATCAATTAAAACCATAAAGTACTTAAATGGTCCGTATGATGGTGTATAGGCCCACAAATATCACCTTATATGTGTTCTAGAAATGTGAGAGACTCACTTTCTATTTTTGTTGGTGATGGTTAAATAATTAACTATCCTTTAGAACATGTATCACATGAAAAATCATGGGATTATGGAATCTGTTGACCTTTTAATGAATGTCCACATGATTTTTCGATTATCTTTCGCATCATAATTGACCCGAAATAGCCTAACCAGTCATGCCAAACATTGAATTTATTACCATTTGTAAAATTCTAGTTTACAATAACATGTATTTCAATTGTATTAATAAATGTGTAATACAAGCCAGAGGAAAAGGTAGGTAATTTTTCTAGGATGCACTTTTTATCATAAATTAAATTCGTGATAATAAGATATTCTTTATTTTCTTCATTTGTTATCTCAATATGGTATCCATTTTTGCAGATATCCTTAAAACTCAATAAATTTCTACTAGATTTAGTAGAATAAAATGCACCATCAACGTATAATTTAGTTCCTTCAAGTAACAATATATTAGCTCTTCCAAAGCTATTAATCATCTTTATACTTTCAAATATAATTTGAACATTGACTTCTTGCATTACCAAAAAAGAAAAATATTTTTTATTTTTTAGTATTGCATGAGTTGTTGCACTATTGACAAGACACATATCTCCATTATTGTCGTTGGTACCAATCAGATGAATACTCATTCTTCATTTAAAAAACATAAAAATATATAATTAAAACATAGAATACAAAAACTTTATTCATTGAAAAACAACAAAATCATAAGTAAATTCTCTGAAAAAAATAACATTATAAGTAAATTCTTATTCCAATACAAGAAAATTAAAATGACACTTAACTATAAAATTTAACTACACCAAGATCTAAGAAATTTATTTCTGGACATTTCCATCTCCAATCAGGTGATCAATTCTTCTATTAAGATTGGCAAAGAAATTAGCAACATTCATGTCACCATAATTAGAATTGCCTTCTTCTTAAGCAAAATGTGTTGCTATCTTTGCCTCTTTGTTTTTGCTTTTACTTTTAAGCAATTCTTGATAATGATCAATCAAATATTTTGGAGTACAACATGTACATAACCAATGACCTTTACCACCACAACAGTAACACAAATTTTTAATATTATTATTATCATCCCTACTTGTTCCTTTCTTGTATTTTTCTTCATTATTTGTCCACTTCATGTGAAAAGATATACCACCACGACCACAACCGCAATCATGGCCATAGCTTCATCCACGACTATGGCCACAACCACAACCATAACCCTGAGCTAATTCATTTGGCACTGCATTCACTTCAGAGAATGTGGTAGAATCAGTTGGACAAGATTTATAATTTTTCATCAAAAGCTTGTTATTTTGTTCAGCCACAAGAAAATAAGAAATCGATTTAAAATATTTTTTAAAACCTTCTTCACAATATTGCTACTACAGGAGCACGTTGGATGCATGAAATGTGGAGAATATTTTTTCTAACATATCGTCATTAGTGACTTTTTCTTCACATAATTTCAATTGAGAATTGATTCTAAAAATTACAGAGTTATATTCACTCATAGATTTAAAATCTTGTAAACGTAAATGCATCCAATCATAACGAGCTTTTGGAAGAATTACCGTTTTCTGATGGTCATACCTTTCTTTTAAATTGTTCCACAGAACAAGGGGATCTTTTATAGTTAGATACTCACTTTTCAACCCTTCATGTAAATGGTGACGAAGAAACATCATGACCTTGGCCTTATTTTGATTGGATGTTGATTACCATCCTTGATTGTGTCTCCAAGACTATTGGCATCTAGATGAATTTTCGCATCTAGTACCCAAGATAGATAATTTTTCCTAATAATGTCCAAAGCCACAAACTCAAATTTCGAAAGATTCGACATATAGGTATTATAATAAAAATATGATAAGAGTTAGATGATATTCAAAATTAAACAAGATCAAAAGGATCAAATGATTAGAAAATAGATCAAATCATATATGAATATAAAAATTACCTTCTATGAGAAACCTTGCTACAAAAGCTTTAAATTAACAGAAATCTCATGTTGATAACGTATTATAAAATTAAGCAACTAAAAAATAAAGATATTGAGAGAAGAGATAGAGACAAGAGAATTAGAGAATTTCTTATTGATCATTGTATCCTTCAATACAAATTATATGCCCCATTTATAGACATGGTCTTACACATGAAATGTTACGCAAATAAAAAAAACAAATAAAGGATAATCATCTCTCATGATGGTGGGAATTTCATGAAAGAAGATGAAAATGAAGATGAAAAGGTGATGAAGATGGACATCCACTATCATTGTAATATTCATATCATAGTAATAATAGTAATAATAATAATAATAATAAATCCTTTTTGATAAAAAATTGTGTAGACTGTGGAAGTAAAATCGCCTTCTCCAAGAAGCATGGATAAGAGCATGACTCCATTAGTTACTAGTGTCTTCTCTGACCAGGTTGTTTTAAGCGTTTTGAATTTCTCTCTCCGGCTCTGCAGTGAGAGCGTCAACGGCTATGGCAGTGAATGTCGTTGTTTATGGTTCGGTGGAGGAGTTCCTGAAGCACTGCGAGCAGTCCGGCGACGCCGCATACGGTGCACTCCGGTCGGTGCTGGCTCACCTGGAAGATCCGACTACCCGTTCCCAGGCTCGAATCTTCCTTTCAGACCTGCAGAAGCGTTTTACCACCAAGGAAGCCCGCGATCACTGCTTTAAGACCTATCATTTCCGGATCGAGGACATTTTCTTGGAGCAATATGAGGGTATTGCCATTGCTGTCTACTGCTTTTGTATGTTCGTTTTACATATGGTTTTATAACTTTTAGTTGACCTGTGTGGCTGGTGGGAAATCGAGTATAAGTTGAAGTGGAAATCTGTTGGACGCGAAATGGAAAGCTTGCACCGAGTAACTAGTGTCTGGTTTACAGAAAGCTGGGGAGAATGCTCAATGGAGTGCGCTTCTTTTTTACTTATCTTTTTCTTAGGAAGATAACATCTCGCATTTATTAATATCTGGTACTTTCTTAGCACGAAATTAGTGTTGCATGCAATTTCGTTTCGTGTTGTCTCCTGCAGTATTTTTATTGTCAGGGGTAAAAATGAGGCGCTGTAACTAACTGATCTGGCCTATTGGTTTTGGACACCAACAATGAAAGAAGATAAGCTTCGTGATCGGGCGAATTTTTCCTTCTTTTTTGTTTAATATGTTTAGGAACACGGTGAAAAATAAATGATCTTTGTCCAAATTCAAGACATCATGTATAGCGTATAAGTTTCGCCGTCTTCTACTTAGTACCGTCACATAGCGTTGGATTTTAGTGGACTGGCTCTGTGATTTTTAGTTGCAATAGTATAATTAGATCTGAATTTACTGTTTCAAGCCAAACGAGAAAAAAAAAAAGAAGAAGCCCTCTTTGAACACAGTTAGTCACTACTCACTTCCAATGCTTTCAGCAATAACATGTTCCAAGTAATTGATTTCAGTGCCTTACTCTGGCAGTGAATGAGACTGTACCAAAGATTGTTCCAGTTGGGGGAATACACTTATAATGCGGGGCTTTACTCTAGACATCTCTTTTCTTTTTTCGTCCCCCTCCCAGTTTACTGGAATTTTAGCATTGTTTATATGAAATGCTTCCTGCAGGTAATTCTTGAATGAAAATTGTGGCATGTGTACGATAGAAATGTTTTGGATATAGAGTTCACACATGTTTTAACTCTTGAGAAATGTTCTTTTGACTTTCTCTATTTCTCTTGTTAAATGCAGGATACCAGGGGAGAAAAAAATTGACAATGATGGTGATCCCTAGCATTTTTGTCCCAGAAGACTGGTCGTTTACTTTTTATGAAGGAATTAATAGACATCCAGACTCCATTTTCAAGGACAGGACTGTTACCGAGTTAGGTTGTGGAAATGGGTGGATATCTGTTGCCATAGCTGAGAAGTGGTTGCCTTTGAAGGTTAGCTTTGAAGTGCCCAAATATTCTTTTTAATTTCAGTGCTTTTGTATTTCATTATTTTGATAGAAGCTCTCATAATAAATTCTTTTTTGCAGTTTGCTAACTTGTATACAACTATATCTTCAGGTTTACGGCCTTGATATCAATCCTAGAGCAGTAAAGATTTCTTGGATAAATTTATATTTAAATGCTTTAGATGAAAAGGGCCAGCCTATCTATGATGAGGAGAAGAAAACTTTGCTGGACAGGGTAGAGTTTCATGAATCTGATCTTCTATCGTATTGCAGAGAACATGAAATTCAACTTGAGAGAATTGTGGGATGCATACCTCAGGTACCTTTTTAGTAATCTTTATCTCGAAACAAAACAATTTAATTAGTTTATGTTCTGTTCTTCAATTTCTGTTACCACATAATAAAAGCAGTCTTTTGTTATGGAAAACCACCAGTGGAAGTACCAGGAACTAGGGCTGTGCAAAAGTTCTTTAGTTCAATCCAGTCCGGTCCAATTTGAGATAACTCGGTCTAGTCCGGTTCAGATAAAAACTAGTCTTTCAAGACTAAAAAAGTCAACAAAAAAAGGCTTTTTCGGGTTGGATTGAATAAGAGACCGAGTATTTGGACCACTTGGTCCAGTTCAATCCTATAAGTTTATTTAATATAGTTAAAATTAATTTATTAATTATTATTACAATAATTTATAATAATAATTAGTAATTTTTTATGTTTGATATTTGCAAAGTCATGAATATTGAGCAAAATTCCAGCATTGACCAACCTCAATCTTATTCTTTTATTGGTGAAATTTATTGTTAACTTGATGTAATGGACTTTAGATTTGTTGAAGGTTGTTTAATTTGAATCTTTTGTACTGTAACTAAAATACTTTTTGTTGTTATTAGAGATTGTTGTGGATTTATAATTATTGTTATTGTGATAAATTTGATATGACTATAAGTAATTTTATTATGTTGAAATAAATTGCTAACTCTTATTGATGAGAAAAGAAAAAAGAAACAAAGTGAGATATCGGACAAGACTGGGCCAGTCTCCTTGTCCTACTGGACCAATCCGATTCTATTTGGCTTCAGGTTATACCAAGACCAGACCAGACTATAGATTGCCTAACTTAGTCCTTTTCATGGAAAGAACCAGACTTTGGGTTAGGTTGAAGTTCTGTTGAGTTAGTCCTTTATGTAGCCCTAGCAAGAACTGAGCTTTTTTCTCTTTTCTTAAAATTAAGTTATTTTGATCTTTGTATCACCATGGTCAGACGGGCTATCTAGAACAGTTAAGATTATTTTTAGTAGCTTTTAAAACCAACTAAATAAGCCACAGATAATACGATCTTTTCCCATAGAAAAGTGCAATGCTTGTATTAAGAATGCCATCTTTCTTCTTGTTTAAGAGAAGCACACATCTCAACTGTCAACGTTATTCTCATGACCTATGAGTTCTTGGAACCTTGGGGGAATCTGCTCCTCTAACTTTCTTAGTACTTGATGAATTTGTTTACTTGGAGGTGTTCTGGAAGAATCTTTTAACCATTTTTTTTTTCCAAATATCAATTATACTTGTGTGGACTCATGCAGATTCTTAATCCCAACCCAGATGCAATGTCTAAGATTATTACTGAAAATGCAAGTGAAGAATTCCTTTATTCCTTGAGCAATTATTGTGCACTTCAGGTAAGGAAGTTACTTCTTTTATTATTTACTTTTATTTGGTGAATCCTTGGTATTACATTATAGATCATCTTTAATGTACTTAGCTTTCATGTCCTGCTTCATTATATGCCAAATACCGTTGACTATGAACCTTTAGCATTTACATGTTTTCATAAATTTTCATTGGCTTTTTTTTTTGGATATTTTTCTAAAATTTCATGGTCTTGGGTATAGCTTAAATGTTATTTAGTAAAACAACAATAAGCCATGTCCCATTAAGTGGGGTTGGCTACAAAGAGTATCTGCTTACTCCTCCTCACTGGCACTTCCATTGGCCTTCTTTGCACATGAACTAACCATCTTAAACAATTTTCTACCATTATCTTTACAATGGATGCCATGCCAACTTGTCCTCTTATATAATCATTATAGTGTTGCCAAAAAAAATCATTATAGATCTTATCTCATTTAGTAATTCCCTGTTAAATGTTGCTTAGTACTCTCATTTAACAATTCCCATTCCATATGCACCAAGATTGAAGAATATCAACTTGAAGAAATGTTTCTGATTAATATGCTGGCTAACTAATTATAATCAAACAACAGCATTCTCATTTTTTTTAATCCATCTAGGGCTTTGTGGAAGATCAGTTTGGCTTAGGATTAATTGCTAGGGCTGTTGAAGAGGGAATAGAAGTAATCAGACCAAATGGAATCATGATATTTAACATGGGAGGTCGCCCCGGTCAAGGTGTATGCAAACGATTGTTTGAGCGTCGGGGTTTCCAGGTCACAAAACTTTGGCAGACTAAAATTATTCAGGCAAGTTAATAGATCCTTGATTAAGTATCATTTATTCAGTGGAAGAAATCTTATTATTGTGTTGGTACAGGCTGCAGACACAGATATTAGTGCCTTAGTTGAGATTGAGAAGAACAGTCCACACCGTTTTGAGTTCTTTATGGGACTTTCTGGTGATCAGCCAATTTGTGCAAGGACAGCATGGGCCTATGGAAAGGCTGGTGGAAGCATATCTCATGCTCTATCAGTTTACAGTTGTCAACTTCGTCAACCTAGTCAGGTGTGCACTTAAAGCTTGTCATTAAAAAAAAAAAAAGCATGTATATTTTCCTAATATAGGAGGAAATTAAAGTGCAATGCCATTCTTACACTGACAGGTTAAGATTATTTTTGAATTTCTTAAAAATGGATTCCAAGAGATCAGCAGTTCTTTAGATTTGTCCTTTGATGATGATTCAGTTGCGGATGAGAAGATTCCTTTCCTTGCTTATCTTGCAAGTGCCCTTAAAAAGAATTCATATTTTCCTTATGAGCCGCCATCTGGATCCAAACGCTTTCGCAGTCTTATTGCAGGATTTATGAAAACGTATCACCATATTCCACTGACTGCCAATGTAAGAACGAGACTTTGCTTCTTTAATTATTTAGCCATGCTGCAGTACACACACACATGAATAAAGCATGAGATGATGCCTCCTTATCTCTTTTGGATTCTATTATTCCTTTCTTAAATGTTAATTCAATGTTTTACCATGGATGTCTTTGTTGGTATATCATATCATTCTTTATTGCTATTTAATAAAGTTATTGTACATGAATGAAACAGGGAAGGATAGCTGATAGGATCAGTGAATATTGTAAATTTTATATCTTTTCATAGGAGTCTTCTGATTCTTTATAAGGTTTATTCATGCAAGTTTATGGGGATTTATCAACATGCCTTTAATAGAGCTACACTAAAATAATTATCATCATTCTTAAAGAAAATAACAACGAGCCTATTAGCTGCCACTCTATCCCTTACCAGCCTTTCTGATTTCATACTTTACTTGTGTGTGTACCTTATATGGTGACCATAATCATGCATTGTATGGATTACATGAAACGCAGCCAGCAGGTGGCTACTTTTCAGCTGATAAAAGATACAGACTGCAAGGAGGATCTTCTCTTTAGAGAACTTAGAATTAGAATAGAATCTATCTACTGTTTAAAGTTTTTTGTGCTATCTTGTAATTTTCAGTCATTAGATGAGGCAAACAAACAACAATAATTTATATTTACAGGAAACCAGCAAGTAGGAAACCAGAACCAATAGATGAGACCATTGACTTGATGGAGACCAATGAGGAGAAAGGCCTACTTGTGACCAATCCTTATGGTGAAAAATATGGGAATTGTATTACCTGGAAATAAGGACCAAAACAATTTGGAAAAACGTGGAGTCTAATGATATTGCTCAAGCTGGACTTGGTTTCAGGGAAGATAGGTAATGCTAGGAAGATGAGCTATAAGTTCGGTATGATAAAAATTTACTTCCCATCTGAGGGTGAGTGTTCAAAATGACAAGAGTAAGATATAAGATAGCACGTATTACTAGCAATTTGTAATATTTGTTTTTTGGTGGTTAGCGCAAGTTCTTACTAGCACACTCAGTTGGAGCTTTGGGTTTTTTTGTTTTTTTCTGGTTCTTATTTAGCTATATTATCTGTATTTAGTTTGTTGGATTGCTAGATTTTTATCTTTGTTTTCCTCTAACACTGTATTTCAGTCAAATGAGTTAATTTTTGATATCAGTTTTTTATTTATTTTGTTCTAAAAGACATTGTCTTATTGATTTGTATTTTCTTATCTTTCTGCTATTATAGGATAATTATTCTTTGAATTTTTGAATATTTTGAATCTGAATGGTAAGAATCTGAGGATCAAATCACTGAATTTCTTCAAATAATGCTTTTCAATAATCATGTAAAGGCTAGGAGCTCCTTGCATAATAAATCTTTCTATTAATAGATTATTAGATATTAGATTGGTTACAATTTGAGAAGGGATTAAAGTCTGTACTTTCTTTGGCTTATGAATGCAAATGCTTCCTACTATGATGTATCAAAAATAATATGGAAATACCCTGCATTCCTTTCTTTATAGAGTTTAATTTTTTTGATAGCATGTTACATGTGTGCTACTTGAGCTACCTGGGTAATGTTTGGAAAATGTCCTGTAGTATGTGCTATTGACCTTCTACCTCCAAATCTTCTGCTAGAATGTGATCATCTTTCCTTCAAGGACTGTGGCAATTGAGAATGCTCTTCGTCTGTGCTCACCTCACCTTGCAATTGTTGATGAACATTTGACTCGACACCTGCCCAGGCAGTGGTTAACATCTTTAGCAATTGAGGTATATAGTCTTCATGACGTGCTTTTTGTGATTCATGCTGTCCAAAGTGTCATGTTTCATTGCAATCATAACTTCTATTTTTTAGCGGCAGAGCTTCTTACTTCATAGCCTAAACATCTTTAGCCTTGAACTTTACATTTATGATTGAGTTGATTCTGACTTCTTTTGCCACTTGCTCAAATGATTAACAACTTGAGGGAGAAAAAAGAACCGATTTGGATAGTTTATTTCATCACAGCATTAGCAGATCCACTCTTTTGCATGGGGAAATACATTTAGCTGCCTTGTGATGGTAATATGTTTGTTGGTGAGGAAACACAATAAGGTTATATCAGAAAGTGCTTCATAGATTTTGAGCTGTGGAATAAAACTGCCAAACATGGAGAGTTATGCATCATTTACTTTCTGTGGGAGGATAAGATTAGTGAGCTCTGGCGTTGTTGAACAATGATGAGCCCCCTGTCCCTCAATTCTATCCTTATTCTATCATCTTAGGAAGATATTATTTCTCTGATGGTTTTAAATGATGGATTTTGTTGTGATATGGAGATGACAGATGTATGATCCAGTTGTCTTGGAAATTTACTAATACTTCATCCGTCCCTGTTTACTTGTCCTCATAGGACAAAATACATAGATCAAGGAGGATAGAAACTTTATGCAGAACGTAAGAATTATTTTTTGTTCTTCACTTTTACCCTCTATCTAATACCTCAACATTTTAAATTTAACCACTTTAAAAAAATTTTATAAGGGTATTATTAGAAACAAGTCATTATTATACCTAGTAATTTGAAACAGGACGAGTATTTAGGGGCAAAATGGAAAAGCAAATCAGGACAAGTAAATAGGGATAGAGGAAATGTCATGCAAAACCCATATTTACCTTTTGTCGTCACCTACTCAATCATCAAAGTCCAAAGGAGAATTTTCTGTATGATCTGCTACTTCCTTTTGACAGAATAAAAGGGCTTATGAGCGGTTCTAAGTTATCAGAATATAGTCTTACAATATTTAAAACCATTTGATGGACACTTGCAAACTTCTTTTCTGCAATAAAAAATGTTGCTGATGTTAAAAATGACTAGCTTGGCTGTATCATATCTTTTCATTTCTCTCTTTTTATATTGTACGAACAAATATTTTCTGCCCTGGTGAATAAATGTTTGGTGTTAATCATATAATGGTAACAGCTGAGAAATAATCACCACTTATTTTAAACGTTCTTTTTCTGAGGAGAATATTTAGGTATTTGTTGCTACGGCCATATTGAGACTTTGAACACATAAAAATGTGTCTTTTGTTTCTGGCATTTATTCTTCCAAGTGTTCACAAAACTTCACAGTTAGCTACAATTATTAATGGGGTGAAAAAGGAATAAAGAACAGATGATCATCTCATTTCCTGACAAGTATTATGTCCTGATTTAGAAGTTGGCGGTTGTTTGTCGTTGTGGAATTGGAAATAGCAAATCAACATATGTCAAATACCATCTTCCCTCATCATTTGGATTGCATATGCTTCTCGTAGTATTCAATGATGTATCCATATCCATTCTAGTTCTAGTTCTAAATATATAACTTCTCCAACGTTAGAAAGTGCTAGTGGATATAACTTCTCCAAAGTTAGATAGTGCTAGTAGATTTTATCCAAAGAAAGAGATAGTTCTAGTGGAAATAAATGATTGAATCTTTTGTTTCTTCTTGGAAGCACTACGTGATAATTTGACTTGGCATGCTATTTTTTTTTTTTTCCTTTCTAGAAGAATACAGTAACTGGTGACTCTCCAGAGGATACACTTGCCGTAATTGAAGCACCTCGGCAGTCAGACTTGATGTTAGAACTGATAAAGAAGTTGAAGCCACAAGTGGTGGTGACTGGGATTGCTCCTTTTGAGGCAGTTACTACTTCAGCTTTTGTTAACCTCTTGGAAGCAACACGGGAGATTGGATCTCATCTCTTTCTAGACATATCTGATCACTTTGAGCTATCCAGCCTCCCAGGATCCAATGGGGTCCTAAAATATCTAGCCAGAAATGTTCTGCCATCTCATGTGGCAATTATATGTGGATTGGTGAAGAATAAGGTAAAATTCTATGTCAACTACACTGACTTGATTACCATATACAGGCTACCAAGTTTTTTCCCATAATTTATTGTTGATGATCTGAACAACATAATCCAGGTTTATCCAGATTTAGAAGTAGCTTTTGTCATTTCCGAAGAAGAGTCAGTCTTCAGTGCCTTGTCCAAAACTGTTGAACTACTTGAGGGCAATACTTCGCTGATTAGTCAGTACTACTATGGGTGTATTTTTCATGAGCTTCTTGCTTTTCAGCTTGCAGACAGACATCCACGTGCTCAGGTTTGTCAGTCTGACTTCCTTCTTGAGTAATTCATACCTTTAGAATGTAAACCTTTGCACCTCGGCAGTCCATCCGTTTGTAACATACTTGGAGCATAGAAGAAAGTAGTAGAAAGATGACATTAAACAGCTTCACTTAGTAGCATAATTTCTTCTGGGAAACTTCATCTTTCCATTTCCCTTCTCTGCCTCTTTCTGAATCCAAACTAGTGCTTATGTCATTGTCACAAATGGACTAGTATCTCAGTGATTGCACCAGCTCCAAGCATAAATTTAAAACCAGTTTTTCTCTGAGAAAGGAGAAAAATCAGGCTTCATGTTCTGTGTCCTAATATATTTTATAGGTGGGAGGAAAAAAGGACAGCCAATGTTCCAAACCATTTAGACTAGGTTGCCTAAAACATTAGAGATGGCAGGGATACTCGGAAAAACAATAAGCAAAGCATCACACGGTAATTAGTTAACATAACTGGGGATTCTATTAGATGATTTGTTTCCCAGTAGCTTATAGCTAACAGATGAGATAGAAGCTGTGAGAGAGAGTCGACTGAAAATGCTTCAATAGTATATGTCCGAACATGAACATGCGATTTACAATATATACACAGTGCTAGGCTAATCTAATCCCTGATTTCTAGCCTATGACTAGGGAAGGAATAATCACCATTAATTCTAATGGTCAGAACCGAAGGAGAAGGGATAATAATAAAAACAAATCAAGCCTATTTACTATTTACACAATTAATGGGATTTCCACACTCCCCCTCAAGTTGGACTATATATGTCAATCATTTCCAACTTGCCTACAAACTTTTCAAACATCTCCTTGTTCAAGCCTTTGGTAAAGATATCTGCGGTTTGATTCTGTGATGGCACATGTATGAGTGACACAAGGCCTCCCTCAATCTTTTCTTTGATAAAGTGTCTATCAACCTCAACATGCTTGGTTCTGTCATGATGAACTGGGTTATGTGAGATGTCTATAGCAGCTTTGCTATCAGTGTACAGCTTCATTGGAAGTTCTAACTCAATCCTTAGCTCTTCTAATACCCGTTTTACCCATATCTCTTCACATATACCATGAGCTACTGCTCGAAATTCAGCTTCCGCACTACTCCTTGCAACAACATTTTGCTTCTTACTCCTCCATGTCACTAGATTTCCCCACACATATGTGCAATATCTTGATGTTGATCTTCTATCATTATGGGCGCCTGCCCAGTCTGCATCTGTAAATATCTCTACATTTTTCTTCTCTGTCTTTTGATATAATATTCCCTTTCCAAGTGTGCCTTTCAAGTATCGTACAATCTTGTAGACTGCCTTTAGATGTTTCTCTTTAGGAGTATGAGAATGTTGGCTTGCTACACTTACTGCAAATGCAATATCTGGTCTAGTATGGGAAAGATAGACAAGTTTCCCAACTAGTCTTTGGTATCTTCCTTTGTCAACATCTTTCCCTTCATTTTCTTCTTCCTCTTCATCTTCTTCTTCTTCTTCTTCTCCTCCTCCTCTGTCATCTTTTTTTATCTTCTTCTTTTTTGATGTTACTTCAATGGGTGTCGTACTAGGTTTGCACCCTAACATTCCTGTCTCTTTTAGCAGATCGAGGATGTATTTTCTCTGGGATATATAAATCCCTTTTTTAGATCGCGCTACTTCCATTCCCAAAAAATATTTCATTTCCCCTAAGTCTTTGACTTGGAAGGATTTGGCCAATGCCTTTTTAATCTTTTCCATCTCTTCATGGTCATCCCCTGTGAGGATGATGTCATCCACATATACGCTCAGAATAGTTTTCTTTCCTTCCCTGTGCTTGAAGAACAATGTATGATCACTCTGCCCTTGAGTGAAACCTTCCTTTCTTAGAACTTGTGTGAACCTTTCGAACCATGCACGAGGTGACTATTTTAATCCATATAAGGATTTTCTTAATTTACAGACTAGGTTCCTTCTCTGGGCAGGGAATCCAGGTGGTGGCGTCATGTACACTTCTTCCTTTAAGTCTCCATTTAGGAATGCATTCTTTACATCTAACTGATACAATGGCCAATCAAGGTTTGCAGCCAGGGACATAAGAATTCTTACTGTGTTGAGCTTAGCAACTGGTGCAAATGTCTCTGTATAATCAGTTCCATAGATTTGGGAAAAACCTTTCGCCACAAGACGAGCCTTGAACTTTTCAACAGTACCATCTGCTTTGTACTTCACTGTGAATACCCATTTGCAACCTACAGCTTTCTTTCCTTGTGGTATCTCAACCTCTTCCCACGTACCATTTAGCTTGAGAGCATTCATTTCTTCCATAACAGCGTTTTTCCAATCTGGGGACTGTAGTGCTTCTTCAATGCATGTTGGGATTGTAATGCTATCCAGATTGGTAGTGAAGGCTTGAAATCGAGGTGAGAGAGCTTTATAAGAGACAAACTTGTCTATTGGGTGTTTAGTGCAGCATCTGGGTTTCTTCCGAAGTGCAATGGGAAGATCCAAATCTTCTTCTACTCCTCCTGGCTGATCACAGTCAGTAATATCTTCTTGAGGTTCAGGATTTGTCATTGGTTCAGAATCATGGTCAGCTTCGAGAACTTGGGTCTGGTTCCTTGATGTTTTCCTCCGAACATAAAACCGATCATAGAATTTATCAGTGTTTGTTCTCTCCCCCTTATTAGGATCCCCCTCGGTGGTAGGTACATTATCTAGTTCAGGTTCAATTGTTGACGCATCAACTTCAAACGGAAGTTCTAATGGAGGTTCATACTCATAGGGTAATTCTAATTCAAGTGGGAAAGAGGGTTCTAAGGAAGACTCCAAGTCACTCACACTCTCCCCCTGAGTTGGAGATTTCGGATAAAAGGATTCATCTTCATGGAAGGTGACATCATAGCTAACAAAGAATTTCTGTGTAAGAGGATCATAACACTTGTATCCTTTTTGGGAAGCAGAATATCCAAGAAAAATACATTTAACGGCACGGGGGTCAAGTTTACTATTGTGATGAATGTGAACAAAGACAGTGCACCCAAAAACTCGCAGTGGAAGGTTATTTTCAAGGTGAGGAATAAGATGGGTGATGTGAAGAACCTCAAGTGGGGTTTTAAAAGATAGGATTTGGCTAGGCATTCGATTAATGAGATGGGTGGCGGTAAGGATGGCATCACCCCAATAAAATTTGGGTACATTATGAGTAAGAAGTAGGGCTCTAGCAACCTCTAAAATGTGCCGGTTTTTTCTTTCAGCTATGCCATTCTGTTGGGGGCTATAAGCACAAATGCTTTTATGAACAATTCCATGGTGCTGTAAGAAATTGCCTAAAGAGTTATTGATAAACTCAGTACCGTTATCAGTATGTAGGATTTTAATAGAGGTGTGAAACTGGGTTTGAATCATTTTGTAAAAGTTGATGAATACAGGGACAACATCAGTTTTGTCTTTAAGGAGAAAGGTCCAGCAAACACGGGTGTGATCATCGATAAATGTTATAAACCATTTTTTATGTGTTCTGTTCGTAGTCCGGCTAGGTCCCCAAAGGTCACTGTGAAATAGTGGTGAACGGTTGGGAAGGTTGGTAAATATTGCGAGAAAAAGTGGTTCTATGGTGCTTTGCAAGTTCACAAACATCACAATAAAACTTGGAGACATTTTTATTAGAATTAAGAGAGGGGAACATTTGACTCAAATACTGAAAATTGGGATGACCAAGATGTTGGTGCCATAACAAAATACTACTATCCTTAGGAAAGGAAACTTTATTGCAAACGCTACCATACTCTTTAGAGGATGCATCAAGGTAATAAAGACCATCAAATTCTCTAGCACTGCCAATCATTGTCCCCGTTGACATTTCCTGAAACATACAATAGTTGGGATAGAAGTCAGCATGACAGTGTTTATCCTTGGTCAATTTTTGCACAGATAACAGATTACACTTCAATTTTGGAACATGCAGAACAGAATGAAGAACCAGCTTATCGGAAACTTTTATGTCTCCAACACCAACGACTAGAGATACTGTAGCGTCAGCGATTTTAACCTTAAGGGAGCCACTATATGGAGTATATGTGGAGAATAATTCTCGATTATCCGTCATGTGATCAGAAGCACCTGAGTCCACAATCCAGGGATTTGCAATACACAGGTGCTGAATGACATGTAAGGCTTGTAAGAAGTTACCTTTGTGGACTACCGTGGCTGTTGGCTGTTTTGTGCCAGGCATGTGGAGGGTATTAAGAAATTCCATGAATTTGGCGAATTGTTCAGGAGGGAACTGCTGGGTGGCTGGATGCACTTGAGGTGTTGTGGGTCTATCATCACTCTTTTCTGTGCCAATGTGATAACCACGACCCCTTGGCTTCTTTGGTTTCCAGTCTGGGGGTTTGCCATGAATATCCCAACAGGTATCTTTGGTGTGACCTGTCTTTTTACAGTGTTCACAAGTTGGTCTATTCTTCTGGCCTCTTGGATCTGCACTTCTAGTGACAAGTGCTGATGGTTCTGGTGCAATAGTGGTCCCCTTGGCATCAGTTTTCAGCATAACACGCCGACGTGCATCTTCACGTCTTACTTCAGCAAATGCTTCACGGACAGATGGTAATGGTACGAGACTTAGGATCCTTCCCCTTACCGCATCAAGTTCTGGATTGAGTCCTGCTAGGAACTCAAATAGCCTTTCTTTGTCAATGCGTTTTTTAAACAGGGCAGCATCCTCAGCACACTTCCAGGCATCTTCATTAGTCAGATCCAATTCCTGCCAAAGAGCAGTCATTTCAAGATAATAATCATTAAGGTTACGGGAACCCTGACTCATGTGCCACAATTTAGTTCTGATTTCAAACATTTGAAAAACATTTTCTCCATCGGAATATACCTCTCGTACAGCCTCCCATATCTCTCTTGCAGTAGGTAGATACATAAAGCTCCTTTTTATTGTTGGAGTCATCGCATTAATAAGCCAGGAAGCCACCATCAAGTTTTCATTTTTCCAGAGGCGCAGAGCTTTCGGATTTGATCCATCTGGAATCACAGAATCGCCATTGAGGAAGCCCAGTCGTCCACAACCTTCGATCGAGAGCTTCATCGTCTGTGCCCACTCCCGGTAATTGTCTCCGGTCAGTTTTTCAGAGACGATGAGGACGTTTGAGCCCTCTAAGCTCGGCATCGACGCGTACGGTCCCCCCTTCTGGCTCGAAATCAGACTGTCGAACCCCCGAGAATCACTCGCAGAGTGGTTCGTTCCTTCTTTCTGATTCGGAATCATGCTATCGGAGTCTCTCGGGTCAGTCGCAGATCGTGTCTGGGTGTCGCGTACCGCTCCAGTCGGCTCCATCTCCGTTTCCGAATCAGATACGTTTTCGATCTCTCCCTCAAGCTCTGATACCATGTGAGAGAGAGTCGACTGAAAATGCTTCAATAGTATATGTCCGAACATGAACATGCGATTTACAATATATACACAGTGCTAGGCTAATCTAATCCCTAATTTCTAGCCTATGACTAGGGAAGGAATAATCACCATTAATTCTAATGGTCAAAACCGAAGGAGAAGGGATAATAATAAAAACAAATCAAGCCTATTTACTATTTACACAATTAATGGGATTTCCACAGAAGCACGGAATGTGAATAGATAGATTGAGTAAAGAGTTGTGTTATGTTTCGCCATGTATCAGTGGGTATCAAAAGCACAATTTGGCACCATAGCAAGAGTTCGTGATGCCTATGGGGGATTTGGATGGACTTTACTGAATGTCATAAATGTGGGTCATATAGACAGAGAAATGATAAAGAAGATGATAGCAATTATCATGGTAATGAAAATGAAGCATGGGCCATTGAGGTGGGAGAACTAACTCACTTGAATACCTACCCCCATAGAGGATTCTATATTTTTAAATGTGGAACTTAGGCACATCCTATGCTACCTAGTCTGCCATCAATCTATCTTGTCATGTGAAGCAAACTAGAACCATCAGCTTGGACTTGACAACTGCAGCTTGGCCTCATAATCAAATGTCATGTTATAAAAGTTATTGGAAGGAGGCCCCTGGCTGTTATTGAATTTAGGAGAGCTAGAGTTATATAGGGCTGAGAATTCCTGAAAAGTTTATACTTTTCTTCGCAAAATTTTCAATTGTATCATTGACTTTATGAGTTTCTGACATTTCACAGATCCTTGAGGACATGGATCAATTTCAAAAGAGAGGGGAGTAGGGGTGATGTGAAACAGGAAGGGGAAAGAAGAAGAGAGAGAAACAGAGAGAGAAATATGCAAATTCTTATTCGATAATCAAGTCTAAATACAACTGAGAATCCTAGGGCTATTAATAGAGCCCTAGAAATATTAAATAATAATTCAAATTCAAAATCTAATTTATCTAAAATTAATAGATGAAGATAAGATGATTTAGTTGGTCTAGATATCTTATTTTATTTGATTTAATGCTTAATTATTAAAGATAATGAAAATAAAACCCTAGATAATAAACCCAAAAAGATTAATTAATTTATGTTTCATCAAGGGGTATTGTGAACAACAATAAACCTTATCCTATTAAATGAGGTCGGCTATATGAATTGTATGGCATCATTGTGCTCTATCGTTTACCAAGCTTTTAGAAATATTGTTAATTAATAGGTCTCAGTCAACAACTTTTATAAACATTCTCTTTGGCCTTCTCCTACCCCTCTTAATATGGCTCAAAATTATCCACTTCACTCTTCTCACTGGTGCCTTTCACGATCTTTTTTGTACATGTTCAAATCATTTCAAATAATATTCTATCATTTTCCCCTCAATAAGTGCTATGCCCACTTTTTCTCGTATGTGTTCATTTCGAATTTTATATTTATGTGTATGCTCACACATCCATCTCAACATTCTCATCTCTATTACTTCAACTTTATGCTCTTGCTATCCCATTAATACCTAGCATTCACTGCCGTATAACATGGTTGGTCTTATAGCAGTTCGATAAAACTTACCTTTCAATTTATTAGGTACCTTACGATTGCAAATAACTTCTTTAGTCTTCCTCCAATTAAACCAACCCATCATGTTAAATAATAGGCTACCAAATATCTAAACTTTTTCATTTGAGGTATAATCCAATCTCCCAATTTTACTTTCAAATTATAATGCAAATATTCCATGTTACTCTTACTCAAGCAGAACCCTTTTGACTCTAATGTTCTCCTCCATAACTCAAGTTTACAATTAATTTCTTCTCTTGTATTCTCAATAAGAACTATATCATCTGTAAAAAGAATGCATTTGGGTATTTCCTCTTGAATATGCTCAGTCAAAATATCTAGGACTAGGTTAACCAAATAAGGACTCAAAAATGATCCTTGATGTAGTCTTATGCTTATAAGAAAGTCTTATGCTTCACCTCTGGATATTCTTATACTATGTGTTGCCCCTTCATACATATTTTGTATAGCTCTAATATATGCAACCCGTACTTCCTTCTTTTTCAAGGCTTTCCAAAGTACTTCTTTCAGTACACGATCATAAGATTTTTTTCAAATAAATGAAAATCATGTGTGCATCTTTACCTTTGCATTGATACTTTTCCATTAATCCCCTTAATAGATAAATCATTTTTGTAGTCGCTCTACCTAGCATGAAGTCAAACTGATTATTAGAAATACCAGTCTCCAATCTCAACCTTTGCTTAATCACTCTTTCTCACAATTTCATTGTATCACTTATAAGTTTAATCCCTTTATAGTTAGTACAATTCTAAATATCCCCTTTATTTTTGTAAATAGGAACTAAAATGTTTCTCCTCCAATCGTCAGGCACTTTCTTGAATCATAAGATCTCATTAAATAACTTAGTTATTCACTACATCTCTTCTTCACTTAAACATTTTCACACTTCAATAGGGATACAACCAAGTCCATTGGCTCTACCATTTATCATTTTCTTAAGAGCTTCCTTTACCTCATTATCGTGCATCCTTTGATAGAATAACAAATTTTGTTCTCCTTCAATCTTCCATGTTATTAGACAAGCCCTCTCCATCATTAAAAAGTTTGGAAAAGTAGGTCTCCCATAAGGGGGCATTTTGAAATGGGAATTAATTAGTTTTAGGGAACAACAGAATTGAGGAGCTTGTGAGATGATTTGTGTCCCTTACAGGTTATGAACGAGGATGAAATAGAGGTATGGTGCCAATGAATCGAGTAAAGAGTTGTTACTTTTTGCCATGTATCACATAATGTAATGACTTGAATAAATTTGTGGTCATTGACTCGTTTTTGTACCTGATGAGCTAGAGACTGCCTGGGAGTTCGGTGGCTCAACTGTTTCAAATTTGAACTCCTAGGAAGATTAGAATCTGAAAGTTGAAAATGTTACCTAGTCCATTTTATGATGATTTCTATTATTGATATAATTTTCTTTTTTTTACTAACACGGGCCATTATACTCCATAGATTAATTATTCCTATTTAAATTTTGTCTCATTACTTAAATTTTGACTTCTTTCTCCAGAGAAATTGTGAAAATGTCAAATCAGTTGATATGATAGGATTTGCTAGCTCAGCTATACCAGTTCTTAGTAATGCTGAGCTGTCAATTGATGGGGCAGAGAATGGGTCTCTTATCCACATGGATTGTGATCAAAGCTTCTTGTCTATTCCATCTTCTGTCAAGGCTTCTATTTTTGAAAGTTTTGCAAGACAAAACGTGACAGAGTCTGAAACTGATGTCACCCCGAGCATCAAACAATTTGTCAGTAGAAACTATGGTTTCCCAACAGATAGCAGCACAGAAATTATACATGCGGAAAATGCCAAAGCTCTTTTTAATAAATTGGTCCTTTGCTGCATCAAAGAAGGCGGCACCATATGTTTTCCAACTGGATCAAATGGGAACTATGTTTCAGCTGCCAAATTCTTGCAAGCTAGCATAGTCACAGTTCCTACCGGTGTCAGTGAAGGCTTCAAGCTCACAGGGAAGACACTTTCTGGAGTCCTTGAGACTCTGAAAAATCCATGGGTCTTTATATCTGGTCCAACAAGTAACCCAACCGGTTCACTTTATAGCAATGACGAGATACGAGAGATCTTGCGAACTTGTGCTAAATTTGGGGCAAGAGTTATAATTGACACTTCATTTTCAGGTTTGGAATATGACTATAAAGGCTGGGGTGGCTGGAATTTGCATGGGTGCTTGTCAGAGCTAAATTCTTTGTGCAAACCATCATTTTTTGTCTCTCTTCTTGGAGGATTATCTCTGAAGATGCTCAATGGTGTTCTCAGATTTGGGTTTCTGATTCTAAACCAGCCAGCATTGGTTGATACCTTCAATGCATTTCCAGGATTAAGCAGACCTCATAGTACTGTTAAATATGCTATAAAGAAGTTGCTTGGTCTTATGGAACAGCAATCAGCAGACCTATATGATGCCGCTATTGAGCACACAAGGGAATTGAGAAGTAGATACAAATCCTTGAAAGAGGTAATCTTCCCTTTCTACTTAATTTTTTTTACCTGTTTTGTTTGTGGCTTAATTCTCAAATCTAAATCATAAACGTTTGCATGACTATGTGTAAAATTATTTCCTTGTCAAGTACTTGGTTAATAAAATTAACACGAACATGTGTTGGGCCATTTTATTGAAATTAGATTTTTTTTGTTTTTACTAATATCTATCTGGTAATAGGGCAAACAGCTAGTTAAATATATTTTCCTTACGTTGCCTGAACCTCCGGCTTGGCCTTCAAATTACATTATTGAATTGATCGCGGTGTAACTTCTTGCAACTGGAACTTGAAACAAAATGTTGTATTGTAGTGTGCATGATTCTTCAGCCTAGTATTTGTAGAGGAAACATGGAACTAATTCCTTATTCAGATGTTCACGTAAAGAACAATGCTTTTTAAGATATATGCAGCCCATCTGCAAAGAGATTTTTCCATTGTACAAAAAAATGAGATGCAATTTTTACTATACTCTTGTACTCATTATTTAACATGACTGCCTTTTAATTTATTTATTTTTTTTAAATTCTGGGAGGATTCAAAGATATTTTCATCTGCAAAAAAAAATTTTTTTCCAGTTCTTTTTTATTTTTTTTCTTTTTCTATTCAGCTTACCAAACATTTCAATAGTACAAGCTTTCTCTTTTTCCTTGTAAACTTCAAGTCAGTTTGGATCTCAAATCTGCCTACAACCTATAGGGCGTAACATATATGCATGCTTGAAAGGGTTTTGACTTTTGATATATTCTTCCTTTCTTACTGGCCACAGCTTCTTGAGAAATGTGGGTGGGATGTGCTTGATTCCTCGGGTGGTGTTTCTGTTGTGGCCAAGCCCTCAGCCTATCTTGACAAGATCGTCAAGGTTGAGATTTCGCCGAAAGGCGATGAGAGCCGAGAAAATGCCACCACTGAATTCAAGATTGATGACTCAAATATTAGGACTGTCATTCTCAAAGCCACTGGTTTATGTATAAACAGTGGCTCCTGGACTGGAATTCCTGGCTACTGCCGGTTCAACATTGCATTGGAAGAAAATGAGTTCAAGGAAGCATTAGATTGCATCGTTAAATTCAAAGAACTCGTGCTGAATTGACGTCTTCTTCCATTTCCGGTAAAGGTGACAGTGAATGGATTAGTTTGATCTTCATTGCAGGTCTTGATAGCTGATCCTTGTGTAAGAGGTTTGTCCTTTATTCTAGTGATACAGTCAATGATGGTTGAGCTTTTGTTCTCTGGCTGTGGTGTTTCATGTGAGCCTCTCATGCTAAGAGATAATGAAATTGTGTTTTCAATTATAAAAAGTTAGACTGTTTTATGTTGATCTTTTACCAAGTTTGTGTCATTAACTGATAATATTGATCATAATTTTATATATCTGCTCAGAAAAATAATATTCAGTTACTGTATAAAAAACTCCTGAGTGGAAACGAAAATACTATAGATGAGAATTGCTTTATATTGGCATAAGATTCTTGCTATAGGTGGTGCAGACATTTTATAACAACATTCTCTTACTAATAATCAAGAAATTCAATTTATGTGCTATTCCCTTCAATAACTTATTTTATTTTTTGTTTAATTCTTCGTGCAACTAGATTCTCTTATTATGTTAAAGATGTAATACTCGGTTATAGACTTCTTAATTGCTCAATATGCCTAATCACCACTAGCGCGCATCTCAATGTCTGCCTTTTCTCAATAAATATTTTTTAAATTGGGGTGGTGGTTTTAAATGTCTCAAAGGCTCGTAATTTTTTTTTTTTTTAATACAAAGGCTCGTAAATTTTCTCCATAGTATCTTGGATTGACTTGTAAGCCATAGTTATGACAAAATTCAAGCCTCAATTGAGTAAATATTAACTAGCATATTGTAATCAAATGATATTAAGAGAGGAACTACGATTAAATATTTCTGTTTCAATCAATCCTACCGTTTGTGTAAAGATTGTTGTATCCGGCGCGCACACAACAAACACCCCAGGGAAACCATACAACCGCAATTCCCTCCAATTTTTAGGATATACTGTTGTTACTTCATTGTCTGGTCACACTTGGTTTTCCTTAATTACATACATTTGTTTTGAAAAGAAATAGTTTAGTTGAACTTGCTAATCTGTTAAGGATACTCTAAAAACTGTTTTCCTAACTAAAATTTATATTATATAGGTATTTTTACGGTTACATGAATTTCATTATGTGAAGAAAAAGAAATGAAGCATGAGAAAGATTTGGAGAATCAGTAGAAGCGGCATGAGCAACACAAGCCTAGAATATATAATATTTGGAAGGTACACGTATTAATCATGAAAAACTTATTTATTTAAATACTAACCAAACTCTGGGTCAAAACGGGCATGCCTATTAAACCCAAGGCAAATGGTGAATTGGACAATTGTTTTTCTTTTGTTTAACACAAACGAAATTGCTTATTTTGAAATGTATTTACTAATTTCTCCCTCCCATCCTATTTATAACCAGGATTATTTGGAATGAAAAGTGTTCTTTCTTCAGCACCCATCATCGTCACGGGCAACCATGAAAAATTATAATATTTTTAACAGTTAAACTACTTTTAACCAAATTATATTAATCATCACCCACTAAACAAAATTGATGCAGTCCACAACGATTCTCGAAAACTGTTTAATTTAATTGAACACAAAAATACATCAGGCACAGTTCAATTCCTCTGTCAAATCTTCCCCTCAAGCAGATTCAAAAGTAATGAACAGGTCATGAAGGCGGGCCAAGGTCTCAAAGCAAAACATCGTTCATTTTACCTTCAAGCATCATCTTCTCCAAGTCTTGTTGGGATAATAGAGTTTTCTTGCCACTTTCCCCAGTCTTATCATATGGTTGTGCCATCTTCCGAAGGAACTGTATCCAACAAATTACAAGATAAATTCACGTTACATATCTACTCATTGTCACATCGACATCCAACTCTTAATCGTCTCGTTCCAAGACTAATCACAAAGACCCAAAAAAAAAAAAACAATAGAGAGAGAGAGAGAGACAGGGCATGTTTGATTCTATTTTCTATTTTCATGTTCTTAAAATAAGTTTTGGAAAAAAAAAGTCTGTTTGAATCATTATTCTTAAAAAAATATCTAAAGTGGTAAAATAAAAGGTGAAAGAGTTATTTATTTTAATAACATAATATTCCTTAATGAAAACATGATATATTTTGCCTTTTCTCGAGTTTTGCAGAACAAATAACAAAACATTAAAAAGATGTTCTGTTTTTTTAGCCTTTCAAAACACTTTTAACTTTCTTGTTTTTCAGAACAAATAATAGAAAACACATTTTCAAACAATTTTTTTATTTTTTATTTTTCAAAACAAAAAATTGTTCTGAAAACAAGTAACCAAACAAGCCCACACATTCTAGACCTCATTTCCTCCTAGCCAATCAGGAGGGATTAGGAATAACATGGACAATCAATTAGGAAATATCCCGCAGAAGAGGATAAAAATTGTGTTTTCTTTTTTTCTTTTATATAACAACAATAATTAAAAAAAATCCAATAGCTGGGACAGGATCTACTCGATAGTTTACAGTTACAAAGACAGACCTCACGTGCTATATGCAAAGCCATGTCAGTGCTCAAGTTCAGGTGAGCTTCACGTAAATGAGACAGTATCCAACCAGGCAACTTGGAACGTTTGTCATGACGACTGTACCTGCAGAGTGTAGGCAGTCGTAGTAAAAAACTCAGATATTTCTGTAACTTTGACAACAAACATAAATATATTGGAACCAGTGCCATATAAAATCTTGAATAGGATTGCCTCCAATAAGAAAATAAATGAGTAATCAAAAAAAAAAAAAATGCAGTCATCAAAGGAAGATGTGCTAATTTAGATCTTGGAGAATCACTTAAATTTTACAAACCAGTGTAAGTGCAAAAAAGAAAAAATCTCGAGATAAACTTAGGTAACGATGCATTAAATGTGACATATCTAAGAAAAAAGACCTACTAACCCAATGTGTATAACCTCATCAGACTTGTGATCAAAACCACCTTTAGTTATTTATTGGTCATTTTTTTATAAACATTGTTGTGCGCAGGTGCCTACGTTTTCCTATAGATTTATTCCTCCTCATCAATAGTAAAGTACACAGGAAAGGACAAGTAATCAAATTTAAACTAGATAATTATGTACATGTGCAATCATTATCAAATATTTGGATTTATTTTACTTTATTTTTGTGACAAGCCATCCAGTATACAGTATTATCAGTCAAATCCAAATGCAAACGGGGTTAAGCCCAAATTTGATGGCAGCTCTTATAATGTGTTTCTTATTTACAAACAAGGTTAGAACTTGAGACCTTACCGAGTCCTTCACCATTTAACCCAACCAGGTTGGTAAATTATGTGCCTCGTATCATATCTTTCCTTAGTTTTTTTCCCCCTTCGAACAAAATATATTGTTCTTCAGATGAAAAATAAGATTCAGACACTCAAAAATTTCGTTTGCTTGAACAGTGTTACAGACAGACAGTATTTGAAAGTGGAACATTTTTTTATTTTCCAACAAATGTAATAGTAGTGGAAAGAAAGCAAAGTTACGCTCAAAAATTCTAACCAGAAACTAGTACATTTTGAGACATTCAATCACATTCAAACAACCACTGAACGAGAATGTGGAAGAAATACTTGCAGTGCAACTCCCTCCCATTTCTTCCTTGTTCGTGAAAGATAAATTATATAGAGGGCTAGAAGCTACAAATTACTAACCTTTTGTCAGCAAAAATCATCATCCCGTAATCAGCCTTCGACCGAATAACACGGCCTACACATTGAGCAGCTTGTCTCTGCTCCACCAAAAAATGATGTTACAAAGGCTTGTAGATGCACAAATCACTAAGTTTAGGAGTCAGATAGTTGAATTGATAGAAGTAGTAGTCATACCAAGGCATCAAAAGTCAGAAAATCTCCTTCCTTGATTTGAAAAGTATCACGTAGATATTCTAGGCGTGCTAGCAAAATTCTGAAATCAAAGTACTCTTGAAATCAATAATGTATTCTAGGCAACCAGCAACATAATGTATATTGGAAATGAAAACCAATCATGATCAACTAGACATATAATGATAGAGACATAGAATGCACTTATTTAGAAATTAATCCAGGGGAGCTTACTTGCTTAATGTATATTGGAAAGGTACACCAAACATGATCACAAGTCTGCCATAATGTCTATCAAAATCTATACCTTCAGCAACTTTCCCCCTGCAAAAGGCACATGTATTCTTGAATTTTCATTAGCTATGACAGGTACATGGATAAAAAATCACAACGCTAGGCCACCCAATAAGTAAATGAGAGGAATGAAATTGTCTTTTTGTAAACAATCAACAACACAATTCTGTTATGAGTCTGCATATGTTAAAATCAGAATCCACGTCACACAGTGTTATCTATTTCAATCACAGAACAGATGGCAGATTTTAAATTCTGATGTAAAAAAAAATTATAGACAGCCAATCAAAGACAAAGGCCATAATACACAACTAAACTATTTTAGAGAGTTCTTGTCATGAAATGCTATTCCAATTCCCTTATTTAAGAAGTCATAGGGGGAGGAAAAACTGATTTAAACCTAAAGAAGACAGGATAAGACAAGATAAAGCCTAGTCCAAAATAAATTAAATAACCTGACTTTCAAAATAAAGATCATTAATAAAACATAAAATGAACTTAATCAGATTCTAGATTTTTCTATGCTTAGCATAAATCTTCAATTCTCCTTCAGTTATATTTGCCTTTTATTGTATCAGCACAGAAAGACTCATTCTGTTCTTGGTTCAACAAAGCATATAGCTTGATCAATCCAGTTAGGAGATAAAAAGTAAAGATATCCAGAGGGAAATGTTTTTGGTGTCATACCTAGCAACAGAGAAAAAGACAGCACCTCTTCCACAATCACAAGCCTTGCGGTAGTTATCAAGAGCCAATGTAGTTTCTACCACATCTTGAGTCTCAATAAAAACAAGCTTGTGTTGCATTATTTCCTGCCACAGAGATTCCTTTAGCATCACCAGACAATAAAACAGAAGAAACTTGCACTAACATAAGAAATATAAAGCATACTCACCTTCAAAATTCCATTTTCATTCCAGCTATTGACTATTCCATCCATATATGAGTAGCTGACAAAGAAACATACAATTCCATCTGGAACAACTGAAGCCATCTCCAACAGTAGCCTCCCATAATTCCTTACTACCCCAAGGTCACTTCTCATATCAAATTTGGTACTGACAGGGAGCTGATCACTGAAATAACAAGCCCATTGTATTGTTAAAAAGCAGCACGAAAAGGGAATACAAGAGAGATATTCAGGGTCCACTCTTACAAAATACAAATTACAGAAACCAGAAATTGAAAATGCACTACATAGGCATGCTGAACAAAAAGGAAGAGAAAATAGTTGGACTACCTGCCCCGTGTAAGAACCATGGGGCATATGCAATCTCTTGTTAGGGACATTGTGAAACTTCGACTGACAACTGGGTTGAAATTCAGAAGACGAGGGTATAGATCTATTGGGCTGAGAGTGCCAGATGTAATCACAACTGACTGAAATCGCTCAAAAACAGGCTTTATCGCAAGAGAAGCATCATGGCAGCAAAGCTGGAATGTCAATGATGAAGAAAATAAGAGAAATATTATAAAAATATATCCAATAATAAAAGCAACTTTTCATGATATAGAGTGTAACATGCAGCAACTAATCACTATTCACGCTATGCAGGAGATATAGATCCAAATAAACACATCAAAACATTTAGTTAACTCATTCTCAAACGCAGTTACTAAATAAATAGTTTCCGAGGAGAAGAAATGTTGCATGATACTTGTGCTACATACATCGTTAACTGAAATACTGAATAATTAATACTCAACAACTTTTGAGCAACTTTGAGATGGTCAAAAAAGTAAAAACACATGAAAGAACAAAAACACTAACCTGCAACACAGGATCTGGAATATGTGGCATTCTCTCATCAAAAGGTTCAATTATAATGGAAAAACCACGAGCGTATGTGCCAACAAGTGTGGCAAAATCACATATAGTTTGGATATGTAGAAATTCATCAGTATCTGTAATTTCCAGTGTCAACATCAATGAATGCAGGCGATCATAACAGAACTTGAGTGTTTTTTGGTCAATTCCAGCATGATTCATAATAGAGGTAACAAAGGCTACAGGGCTTTCCTTCTCCAAATTCTCAGTTTCAAGGCGCCCTTCAAGATATTGAACAAATCTACGTAAAACATGAAGAAAATGCTCAGCTCGGCGAATGTTGCCTGGTACAGCCTCCTTTAGAATATCATCAGGCAAAGCTGGATTTGCAAGCCAACCATCCGTAGCTGAGAAAAGAAAACAAGTTTAGTTAAGATAAATGAAGCACCCTTTAAATATCAGTAAAATACAAACATTTTACCTACCAGGTAGGTCTCCTCTTAGAGCCAAGCCCTCAACAAGCCTGTTGTATTCAGCACGTAGTCTACCTGCGTCAGTGGCCTTGAACCTTCCTACCAGGTCAAACAATTAAGAGAATCTAAATCAAATTCCAACAATGGGTTGGGAACAAAAGAAAAACAAAATAAGCCCAAAAATATACTCAAGCAAAAAACCGAAAACAATAATGATACAACATTGCAGAGGCAAGGCATTAGGGATTTCAAATGCACTCACAAAGAATTGAAAGTCCTTTACCTTTTTAAATCAGAAAACCGATGTGGGGAACACATAAATATTGTATACAAGTAAGATATAATCACAGGAACTCATTTGTATTTTATTATTCCATGTTGAAGTTGATACAACAAAAAAAAAAAAGTCATGTAACAATAAAGGTAACTGCTAGAAACAGAGCATACTTGTCAATTTCCTGATTCATCTTATGGAGATTTCTTCTAGCACCTTCAATAGTCTGCCTCCTGACACTCACACTAAGCGCTTCAATACAGACATTATCAATATTGTGAGCCTCATCAAAAACAACAACAGACTCTCTCTGCATCTCCTTAGATATTATGCTAGCCACTTTAGGATCAAGCAAATATTGATAACTGTAGACCACGACATTTGCAAATTGAACCATATGTCGTGCCAAAAAGTATGGGCACCACCCTTTCTCCTTCCCAAATGCTCTCAGATCCTACAATCATATAGACCAAGAGAAAAAATAACTACATTTATAACTAAAAGATGCATTCACAAAAGGGTAGAACTAAAATTTACATGACAATAGGTTCATCATTTAATTAATATCACTACCACTACAACACGCTAGGTGCTTCTTCATCAGTAATGGGGATTCTAAAATTCCAGTCATGCAGCAAAACTAGCCAGACATGTTATATTCATATTAAATTAGTTGGTTCTTAAAGAAAAATGCATAACAATTTAAAAAAAAAAATTCCTTTTTGCTAGCAGCCCTTAAACCTGGTGGGCACATGCAAGCATAAAAAATTCTAAGTTTGAAGTTTCAAAGCCAGGTTTTGGGTCTGAATGTCATTTAACCACAAAGGCCTATTAAAATAAGGTTTTGATCATTAAATCTATCTTAAAATGTCAGATCCGATCAAGTTTTAGCCACCTGTAAGGTATAAACTCCAGGCGGCAAAACTGCAGAAGAACCGGCCCTCTCATACTGCTCAAAGAACTCACAAGTGGGGATTCTTGGGTTCTCAGCCGCCAATGCTCTGACCCAGCTTGCAGTCAATTTGCGACAGCCAGCATCAACTGAGTCCTGATTCTCCGCTGCCAAAACCCTGGGATTGATACAGAGATTCTTCCTTGAAGACAATCCCACAGCCAAGATCTTGGCAGAGGGACCCAGATGCTGAAGCTGGTAATTGTGGAGTAATTTGAGTTCAGCAAGAGTCTTCTCCATCTCATGGACAGTGCGAGTACAATAGACAAGCTTAACTGGGTTCTGGGGTTTGGAGAGAGTGTAGCTGGTGATCAAGGAAAGGAGGGCAATAGTCTTGCCTGTGCCTGTTGGCATTTCAAGGAGGCAATGGCCCCTAGCATCAAGAGCTCGCTTCAGCTCCAGCATGTAAGCATATTGTTCTGGGTAAATGTTATCATAGGGGAAGTACACTGTAACATCTTCTATCGGGAACTTCATTGTTATGGTGCTCAGAGTCCAGTGATGAGATCAGATAACGCGCCTACTGTAGAGCCCTGATTTATTAGGGTTTCACAACTTTACCGTTCAAGTCACCTTGGCCTTCAATGTCATTCCATTAGGATTTGTGAGAGGAAGCAGCCTCAGGGAATACGAGTAACAACCAAAGCATTTCCTTGACCATGCTCCCCGGAATCACACTAGCGATTGCTCTATTCTTGTTTTCATCAAAGACAAAACAAGCAAAGATTACACTTATGAATTATGAAATAAATAAAAAAATCAAAGCTAGATGAAGCCACTTTTAAACTTAAAAAAGAAAAAAAGAAGAAGAAAAAAAGGGGGGAGGGGAGAAAAATCACTGCTAGTATCCCTTAAATGCTTGGACATTTTTTTCATCCTTTTTTAAGCCTTGTATCGAGCATTTGCCAGGCATGCTTGAAAATGTAGGCGGCAAGATATTTTCATTCCTCCCACATTAACATCAAACACAAAGCTACTAGCAACGCCACCATGACATCCAAACCAGCACATAACATTATAATTCAAGTGATTATGTTTATTAGTCAAAGGTTATCAAACTTTCACATCAACAAGAACCTAACGATACCTCTGCTTGTGACATGTATTTTCCCTAATCTCACCTAAAGCACTGGGTTCACAAAATCCTCTTAATACCAATTTTCTCCACAATTGACGAGCATACAGTAAAAGTAGGCACAAATCAGTGCCATTTTGCCATAATTACATTCAGGTGACCAATCGAAGGGATCAACAAATTTCAAATAACGTAACTTGCGGAGCACAATGTAAAGGCGAAAAACTGTGAAATTTACCAAAACTGATAATGTACCCTGAAATTTACTAAAACCGATAAATAGATTAAATCTCCACGGTGCAGAAGAGAATAATTCAAACCTCCACTACCCCCCGGCGTGTGTTCCTTCACTTTAGGTTCCCACAAGACAATTCCGTTGTCAACACTCTGGAAGCATTACAATGCATCGCTTCTGAGATTAACTAAAAAAATTACGAAGGCTAGGAAATTATAAATGACCAACTGTGCTAAGCCACTGATCTGGCAATTAAAAGCCTCATTCTCCAGAACAAAAAGCATAGTTCTTACTAACACAAAGTCGTCGATCATTTTAAATTCTTCACTTTTGCAATAGAAGTATCCAAAGGCCGGTGAAGTCACATTAATTTCAGCAAGACCATAGTCTCTCCCCACAGCCAATCACACTCAAATAATTTCCGTTAAAAATATACTGACACTTCAAAGAGCAATCCCTCGCTTTTGGGAGGCACATTATGCTTCGAATTCCAATGACAGAACAGCAAAGTCAAGAACAATTGGAGAGGCGACGAACCTAGAGCAAGAAGGCAGAAGCACACGAACTCACGATCACGAAGCACGAAGGGAAGGTCAGCGAGAAGCACACAAAGCATAAGCAGAGGCGAGAAGCTAGAGCCAGCTGAAGCACGAGGCAGGAACACGAAGAAGGAGCAAAGGCTATGGAGCTGGGAGGGGACGAGGCTGAAGAAGCAACGGCGGATCGGGACTTGCACCCTGACTCGGGTCGGCAGCAAAAAATGTCGAAACAATTAATTTATCATTTTTGGTAAAATATTTAATATTTGCATTGATGATGATTATATAGATCCAATTGCACATATGTTGGCCCAAGCTGGTTAAAAAAAAAAAAGAAAGAAAGAAAATGATCTGTTGCCCAACAAACTGGCAGATCCGCATTTCATATATTTATTGTTTATACAGGATCTGCATTTTATAATAACATAGATAGAGTAAATAGAGCTAGATAGATTTTAGAGAAAATTATAAAGAGGTTCTATATGCAAACAAATATGTATAAATAAGCTACATGAATTTGTAAAAAAATACACTCAAGTCTCATATAACTTAATTGTAATTAAATTTATGAGATAAGATGACAAAAATGTCTTTAAACTCTCATTAATTTGATTAGGTTGTTTAAATGATTATTGATTGCTACTAACTTGTCAAAAAATAATTTTTAAGACATGTTTTTATTAAAATATTAATATTTTAATGTTTATGGGTAAAACATTAATATTTAAGGTTTATTAGTCAAATTTCTCACATTTACAAGTAGTATTAATATTTTAATATTTGTAAATTTAGACTTGTAAATTAAGATGTTTAACTTTTAAATATGCAAAGTTTGACTTATAAATATTAACTTATTAATATTGTAAGAAGTCAACGTGTACGTATAAGAATTTTTAACTGTAAATCTTGAAGATTTACTTATAAACTTGTGATCATCAACTTGTAAATATTAAAATATGAATAATTTAATAAAAAATTTTACTAGTCACTACCATCCGATCAAAAACTACTAGTGGTCAATATGTTAATTAAACGGGCGGAAATCTAAGGACTTTTGTGTCATTTTAAATGGCAAGGTAATTATTATCAAGTTATATAAAACTAATGTATTTTAAAAGTGATAATCAAACAAAACTTGACAAGTCAATTTAAATAAATTTAAAAAATTTTATAGTCGGACTTGAAAGTCTAAAGATTTTTTTTTTTGCTCTAGATTTATCCGAGTATCACTTGATAGGCCAGTTTAAATAAATGTTTCATATGGTCAAACTTGAAAGTTTAGAAGATTTTTATTACTCTGGGTTTATTCGGGCTACTCGGGTAAACCCAAAGAAATTTGGGCAAAGCTTGAACCTAATTGAACTTAGTCCAAATATCCAAATTTCTTTTATATTATTTATAAAATAAGTTAAAAATTAAAAATTTAATTTTTAAAAATAAAAATTGAAATTACATAAAAATTAAAAATAATATTTAATAATTTGAGTATTCGGGCTAACCTAAATAAGTTAGAAAGCCTAACAAGTTAGGCCAAATTTAGCTAGATGAGTTTTTTTATATGTTAAAGTATTTTAAGCGCGATTCAAATAAGTTCAACTTCAATTAAATTCAACTAAATAAGCCTAACCTACTTAAATTATTGGCTCTAACATATTTTCATAAATTCATGGGATTTTTTGCAAATAAAATTCTTATATAGAACATATTTATAATTTCTAAGAAGTAGCTTACGACCCTTTCAATGAAAAAAAAAATTGTTTATATTTTTAATTTTCATAGGCAGAAAATTCCAAAATAATTTTATATAGAAATAAAATAAATTTCTATTTATATATTTTTTATTCTATCACTTACCCCATGGTATCTTGGGAAATCTATAGGATATTAATGTCTCCTATTTAAACTAATCAAAACTTCTACTATATAAAATCATTATTACTAACAATAACCATATAGATACAGTGAACATATTTATTTAATATGATTGTATATTAAGGAGCTCGAATTTGACATGTTTAGGTAACAAATTTTAAAATAAAACAAGTTGTTATTTTTTTATTTTTGATTCCATGGGCAGCCTCATGGGTATTTATAGATAGTGCCAGGAAAACGGATTGAGTTCACGAGCTAGCCCGTTTAACCCACACAATTTGACAGGTTAGATTGGAAAAATTAGCCCTTTTTTAAAACAGACTGGGTTAGCCTAACCCGTAAAATTAGCAAGCTAAAACAGGCTAGCCCGCGGGCTAGCATATTTAAAAAATAATTTTTTATCTTTTAATTACATTATATCTTTTTATAAATTTATAATAATGATAATATTTTTAAATATATAATTTATGACTCTCAAATATGTTATTTACGTTTGAAATATAGTGTAAATTCTTTCTACAATTTACAAATAAAATTTTTGTTATAGTTTGTGAAGATAATTTATTAGTTTTTATAGAAATATTTTGAATATATATTATTTATTAATCTCATAATATCTATTGATTGAAATTATAAATATAAATTTATTGAGAAAAATAATATAAATTTATATTCAAATTTTCTTTCTCAGTAATAAAGATAACACACCTAAGTGAGAAAATGATTGATACTTGATAGTAAAAATCTAGCAAAATAAATTTGCTTGATTTGATTCTATATTTATTTTATTTATTTTTAAATTTTTTAATTGCTAATTTGCTTTAAAATATGAAATATATATTTATATTATATAAATTTTAAATTATTAAAAATATTTAATAATTTTTTGCAAGCCAGCCCGCAGGTTGGCTAGCTTGCTAGAAAATGGGTTGGGTTAAATTTTTCAACCCGTTTTATCTGGCGAGCTAACCCAACCTAACCCACAAAAATGCCAGCCCGCACAAGCTGGCCAGTAACCCATTTGCCCAGTGCTTTTTATACAAGTGTTTAACTTGTACCTATTTTGATTGACCTGATATTGTCCCGACTCAAAAATAATTAGGATGAGACTTTATGAGATAAGATAAGAAAGGAGTTCGGGATCAGACACAGGATTACTATCTAGATGTCCCGTCCTATCTTGAATATTATATATATTATTTTTTATTTTAAAAATATACATTAAATATATTAATTATATTAATATAATTTATACTTATATTAATCATATCAATTATAATTTCAATAGTTGCAATTCTTATATAAAACTAAAGTTTTTTATATTGATAATTTTAATGACATAGAGTAAACAGGACGATATCTTTAGTTTTAATATATTAATTATATTAATACAATTTATTCTCATATTTATCTATTTAATAACTTTTATTTATATCACATTTCTTATTTTATTTTTGGAAAAGTAATTAACTTAATACATCTCAACTAAAGTAGAAGAACAATGATTTGATGGCATGCCTGGCTTGCCTATTGCTACTCTTATAACCTAGAAATTACTTGTAATTGTTATCATAATGTCTAGTTGTGATTAATGTTATTTAATAATTGACTTTTAAATTATTATGATTTATGTACTTGTGTTGTTTTAATTTTAAACTTAATAAATTATATAATTTAAAATTTTAATGAATGTTATTATATAAATCTTTTTTCGATATTATTTGATTTATTAGAATAGCGGGACGTTTTGATCTTGTCTTAGTCCTGTTCTAATTTCTAATTAGATGGGACAACTTTTGAGATAAGACAAGATATGGGATAAAAATTTAATCCTTTTTTTTTGAATGGAATAGGAGTATTTCGGTCCCGTCCCATCTCACGAACACCCTTAGATATTTATAATTTTTTCTCTTTACCACTAAAAACATCTCTACATAAGGAATAAAAAATATATAATAATTCATGTTATTATTGTTATAGTCATTAAGTTATAATTAACTTTGCAATTCTATGTCACACTTTATTGACACTAATTTTTAAAATTATCAAGGTATTATTTACTAGATATTTAACTTTTATTAGTTTTTATAATTTGAATATCGAAAGGAGAGAGAGAAAAAATATTATTGAGCTAGATTGAAAATATGAAGAAATGAGGATGAAAGTTTTTAATTGATTTTTATTTTTTCCCATTACATCTTTTTATTAAAATGTTATTTCCCCACTTGTTCATCATTTTTTAAAAATCAGACTCCTTAAAATCTCTAGTCCCCTGCCTTTTATTCTCCTCAAATCAAACATAATTAATGTTCATGAGGAATAAAAAATATAATCATTTTATGTCCCATTGCTCTCTAAAGAGAATTAAAATGTTCATTAGTTTTACTGTTTTGGATACGTTTGGGGATGGATCCAGAAACTACTTTAAGGGGGCAACTTGAAAATAAAATTTGAGGTTGGGGAGGCAAAATCTTTTTTATAATTTTTTTGAGTAAAAGTTTAAATTATCCCAATGGATGATTGAAATGTGGGGGACAAGAACTCCTCCTTACTCCCTCGATCTGTCCTTAGATGTGACTTTATTACTAAACATTCTTTCTTGATCTGCGGACTCTTTTAGTATATCTTCTTTTTTATTTGTGGCTTTTATCTTGTAATTGCTTTTATTTTAATTAATATTATTTAACTTTTGGAAAAAAAATAGTAGTCAAGACCTTTATATAAAATTTATATTAATTTAGGATAAATTATTGTCAAAATTTGAATGAAAATAAACTCTAATGAACTATTGTTAATTTATAATTAATTGTTAAAACTTGAATGAATATTTATTAATAAAAAATTAATTCAAATCGATAAATATCCATTTAGATTTTAACAATAATTAATTCTTGATCGGTATAAATTTTACTCCCTTCGTTTAAAAATATAAGACATTTTTAACCTAATCTCACCCCATTAAAGTAATTACTTATTTTTAAACTAACTTTATCTTTCATATTTACTTTTCTTAAAAACCTTATAATAAATATAAAGTCATTATTAATAGAGTTATTTTTGAAAAAAAGATGATTACATCTCGAAAAACTAAAAATACCTTATATTTTTTAATATCTAATTTCTTAAAAAATATTTGTATTTTTAAATGAAGAGGATATATAATGTACCTTGATTGCCATTTTTCTTAACTTTCTTTTTTTTAAAAAACTTTTTATTCACAATTTTACATTCTATCAAAAATCTTAAACCCACCATAAGGGGCTTAGGGCTTTTTCTGTCCTTCCCAAATTTCAATTCTGTAATGCCTTTATTGGCTTGCTTGTCCCTGCCCGGACCATAAAGAACCAAGAACACGCCCATTTCTTTACAAGAACCAACTGTTTCTGGCGCCACGAGCCTCACTTTTTATTCCCCACTCTTTGAATCCTGAGAGATTGGCAAGACTAGAGTAATGCGAAGCAGAGGTAGTTCCAAGCGAAAGAGACGTGCCTCATCCTCAGGTACCTACTTTGATTTGTGATCTTCTTCAGCCTTTTTTCTGTATTTCTCAGAAATACGAGAAAGAGATAACTTGGAGAAACTTTATGTAATATCGAAAGTGAATAGATAAGGCTCCAATTAAGTCACGAAGGAATTCTGCCATTTTGTTAAGAGGGAAGAAATAAAATGCGGAAGAAGAGAACAAGATGAAGATAAGAGAGATAAGAGGACGGAGGCAAAAGATTCCACTATTAGCATAACAGAATTCGTGGGGGCCAAGCTCGAATATAACATGCTGGAATCCCCAAAACGACGCAGCAAGGAAAAGAAATGAAGTGGCAATGAAAAAGCTGTTACCCGGACCAGATAAAATAACGCCTCTAAAGTATTATCTTTGTATCACATTTGAAGCATTTAATTAATCAACTTTTGAAAGAGGGAGTTCCTTCTTTCGGCCTTCACGTCTTTTTTCTCTGAAATAAAAATCACATTCATTAGAAAACTCTCCTTAAACCCATAGAATGCAAGGGGCAGTAGTGTGTAGGGCAACTTTTAGTTTGACCTTCGTGTTTGAGCGATGGAAAGTTGATCACTTTATAAATTATGCTTCTGCAGCTTTTTTTTTTTTTTTTAATGGAATGCATCCAGTTATGATTCTGACAATAGGGGCTGATTGAATTGAAGTAATTTATTTTTCAATACCTCAAACTCGAACTTGTTTTTTTTTTCTTTTTTCTTTTTGCCTGCTGAATGTTTCGGAATGATGACCTTTTGACCTGTAATTGGCTTAGTATCAAGCTTCTGTGTGTGTTTGGAGAATTTAAACCAAAAATACCATGTTCAACTTTTATTTCTAACTTAAAAGAGCAGCCTATAGTCTTAGAGCTGTAAGTTACCTTTGGATAAATGAATCTATAAAATCAATGCCAGTGACATTCTAAATTCTTGTTCATTTACATTCTTGTTGTCATTCAATCATTGTCAAAATTACAGAAAATGAAACGAGAGCTCTACACAACTTGGAAGGTAGAAGCCAATTTCAGCCGCCAAGTGATATTGGTCTGATAATATTTTGTTAATCTTTTCTCGTTTGAGTTGGCTGTCAAGAATGAGGAAATTATATTACAGTACTTATGTAACCAATGTTTATGCCGATTTTCAGGAATGCTGGATAAAACATTCCAGGAGGCAGGGGCCAAGTTCCTTAGCTGTGCCGATAAAGTTGGCTCTTCCTTGAAAGAGACAGATGATAGTAATCTTCATTTAGATCATTCAATTGGGATGGTTAGTCCCACTAAATTATTTTTCTGCTAATTGACAGCTTTTGATGTGTAATTTTTTTACTAGCTGTATAATTTACCTTCGTTCTGAATTCATTAATACTTGAGGTTCTGATTTTCTCATTGCCACAGTCTGAGTCAGAAAGAAATGACTATCAAGCCTTGGAACCAGTCCTGCCACCAGAGACTTTAGAGAATGGACATTGCAGTAGAAATGTTATGAAAAATGCTTCTTTGAAAGAGAAATGTGATGATGTAAGTTTAGACAAAAGCCACTGGAACAACAAGGAAGAACTGGATGACTCAGATTGGGAAGAGGGTTCAATTGCCCCAGATGATCATCCTATGACTATTGAATTGAATGTGACCCCTGATTTATCTACACAGAAACGAATTCGCCGTGCTTCAGCCCAGGATAAGGTCTAATACTATCCTGTATGAGCAGTTAGCTGTATGGTTGGTTTTGATGTCATAACTAATATAGCCCTTGCTGAAAGTAATTTTGTGCATTCTCCAGGGCTTTGCTGAGCTTGTGCACAAGGTTCATTTGCTTTGTTTACTTTCTCGTGGAAGATTAATTGACAAAGTCTGTGATGATCCTCTAATTCAGGTTATTTCCTGGACTTTCAGTGTGAATAATACACTTTTGAATATAATCAATAACTAGAATGGACACTTGTACAATGCATGGGATAGCATTGCCTCACTTGAAATAATTAAAATTATTTTGAGTAAATTTTATATCAAAGTGAAAGCCATAAAAGTTAGATTAAATACAAACCAATAAACAATGAAGATTTATGGAAGAAATGCATAAAGACAACATGTGACGTTGCATATATTTATTGTATAAAATTGGGAAACATGATTAATAGATGACTAAAACAATTACTTTTTGTTGATTGGTACTTGGGGTGATAAAATCTCAGTTCTTCGGATAGTAGCTTGCTATAACTTTATGTAGCAAATAGACCGAAAAACTCTTCTGATTGAATCCCAAAGTATGTCTATAAGAGTTTGAGGTAGTTACTATGTTTGGTTGGAGTAGAGGGGACGGGAGGGATTTTCATCAGGAGGGGGAATCAGGAGGGGAGGATTTCGGGGGGGAGAAGGAGCTACAAAATCACTCTAAATCCCCCCAATTTGGAGGGGAGGGTTGGGAGAGGAGGTCCCTCCCCTCCCGTCCATTTTCTCATCCAAATGAGGGGAGATACAACTATCAAATGCTGGCTTGTGTAATCCTTTGGTGAGTTCAGCAGCTTGAAGCTTTTTGGTATGTTTTTCTTCACTGTTTATGAATCTATCCTCTTATTACAGTTTGTGCATTATTGAATGGTGATCTGATGGGCCTACTGGGCCCATCAATCATGTTTATACCAACACCAGACAACTTGCATCTGCTGCTAAGAGGAGGAGACAAGAGAATCATGGGCTGGAAAGCCAACTGCGGGTTTTTTTTCCTAAGGTTTTGCATCACTATTTGAGTAAGGAATTGGTTGGTCTCGTCTTGGAGAGAGTTAAGCTTTTCCAAAGTTGAGCCTCAATTTCCATGCTTCACTTTTGTTAATTTTCTGCTACAGTAACCTAGGATATCATTAATTTTCCCATTTTCCTCTTTCTGTTTGAAGATGCTTGTGATTAATTTCCTAATCACTACTGTTGGAAATAATACCAAGGTTACACCGGTCTTGCTCTAGTTTCTTGCCCAATGAATCATTATATCCTGAACTTTTCACATGGAAGCTTGATGTTAGTTTGAGGCATTTTCTGAACATGGCAGGCTTCGTTGCTTTCTCTACTTCCAGAACACCTGATCCAGCTATCAAATGTCACCAAGCTCACTTCAAAAGCTTTACATCCTCTTGTTGCATGGGTATGGTTTGATTGTGTAGCACAATTTTATTTTTGGTCCAATTGGTGACCATCTTGAACAGACTCATGGTATACCACTTGTTTGGTTTATTTGTGTGATACTTGCAGTTTCATAATAATTTTCGTGTTAAAAAGTTTACTAGTGGAGAAATGTCATTTCATTCTGCTGTGGCATCAGCTCTTGAAACACGTGAGGGTAGTTTTGAGGAGGTAGATCTCTTATCATATTATGAATGTAGCTTTTAAGTTTGTCCTTTAGCGAGAGTTACCTTCATTTTTTTCCTTTTTAATCAGAAGAGCTATATTCATTTTAACATGATTATTCAGGTGCTGATTAATCATAGTATGTTTTCATTCTATATTCATTTTTTTATGTTAACATATATCCAAAGCTTTTCAAATGGTTAAAAATGTGGATCTCTTATTATTAACTCAATCTTGGTATGAAAGGATTTGATGACTTTGAAGTTACCTGATAATCTTCTTATAATTAGACTAAACCAGTAGTAAAATAAAGTTGCTCAAAAATGGCTTGTGTTATCTGAAGCTTATTGTTGATTGCTCTGTTGTCTGAGAAGTTTCATTAACAGGTTCCCCCCCTTTTTGCAATTGCTTCTTTTCAATGCAGGTTGCTGCATTATCAGTTGCCCTATTTAGAGCTTTGAATCTTACAACAAGGTATTGCATAAAAATAAAGTTCATATTTGTCTGGCTTTTTCCCCCCTGTTTTTTTGTTGATGAAGGGCTTTTATCATATGGTTTCAAATAGACCATATTTCATTTGTTACCCCTGCTTTTAAGAAGCTTAGTTTAGGACCCTCTTTTATCATATTGCAATGTTTAGATTATGTTTAATGAATGTTGAATCTGTTTACAAGATCTACTGATTGAACCTTCTTCCGCAACTTCCAGAAGAATTTATTTTCTTGTGCCAAAAGTAGATATGTGGAGTTAATTTTCTTCTGAAATAATATTTCAGGTTTGTCTCCATTTTGGATGTTGCCTCTCTTAAACCAGGTCAATCCTTTAGATCTGATGCAACTGGATCTAGTAAGGGTGTATTTAATGCTCCAACAGTGATGGTATCCAGGCCAGAAGAAGACCTTAGGCACCCTAAAAAATTGTTTTCAGGCTATGAGAGAGAAAATTCCAGTGAAAGTTCTCTTGGCCAATCACATGAAAGGAAGGAATACCACTCAACGAGTCATTTGACTGAGTCCACAAATCCCCCTTTTGCTCATGAGCTGAATGGTAGCGTGTCCAACTCACGAAATTCTGAGACAGAACATAATCACCCTGAATGTCTCACTAACCAGACTGGTAAAGCAAAGAGGAAAGGGGATCTTGAGTTTGAAATGCAGTTGGAAATGGCTCTTTCTGCTACAGCAATTGGGGATGAGTTGAACAAAAAGGAGTCATGTCTGAGAATCTTGAATGCTAATTCAGAAAATTCTCCATCGAAAAGAATCAAAAGGATTATATGTGATGAATCTTTAACCTTCCCGCGTGAAATGTCTACAGCAGTTGGACCAATGAAATTTGGATCTCCTCTGTACTGGGCAGAAGTATATTGCGGTGGAGAGAATTTGACCGGAAAGTGGGTTCATATTGATACTATCAATTTGATTATTGATGGAGAACACAAGGTCGAATCCATGGCTGCTGCATGTAAAACATCTTTGAGATATGTTCTTGCTTTTGCAGGTCAGGGAGCCAAAGATGTGACCCGCAGGTCTTGCATTCTCTCCATTAAATTAGTTCACTATGATTATAATATTGGCTTTACAATTATTTACATTATAACAATGGTATTGACTTATCAGGTACTGTACAAAGTGGCACAAGATTGCGTCACAACGAGTTAATTCAATGTGGTGGGATTCAGTTCTGGCACCACTGAGAGAGCTAGAATCAGGTGCAACTGAAGGAGTGGTTCATGTGGAAACAAACCAAGCTATATCTGCAGAATCCAGAAAGGGTAATTCATTTGCACCAACTCGGAGCTCCCTTGAGGATATTGAGTTGCAGACCAGGGCATTAACTGAACCTCTTCCAACTAATCAGCAGGTAGTCAAAAGTATGCCTGAACAACAAGATGTGCTGGATAATAGATAGCGAGAATTCCTTTGTAAGATTCTTTCTTCCATATGCAGGCTTACAGAAGTCATCCACTTTATGCAATAGAGAAATGGCTTACCAAGTATCAAGTTCTTCATCCCAAGGGCCCAATTCTTGGCTTTTGTTCAGGCCTTCCGGTTTACCCAAGGACTTGTGTGCAGACGCTTAAGACAAAAGGGAGGTGGCTTCGGGAAGGGCTGCAAGTTAAATCCAATGAACATCCTGCAAAGGTCTGGTATGACTTTAAGGACTCAACATATTGTTTCCCTTGTATAATTGTGTTTTATGCCCTTCTAATTTTCACATGAATTTGAATATCTTCTCAATTTTCTGTCCAGCTGCTCAAATCTTCTGTAAAACATCAAAAAGTACAAGATTCTGAGGCTGATGACTATGGTGGCAGTGATTCTAAGGAAAATATTGAATTCTATGGGAAGTGGCAACTGGAACCTCTAAATCTGCCTCATGCTGTAAATGGGATAGTTCCTAAGGTCATTCCTGTTACTTTCTTTGGATATTGTGTAATCGATGATGGGTCTTGGCTCATGATTAGTCTAATAGTTTAGTTGATGAAGTAGACGATAGAAAGAATTAGGATTTCATTATTCAATGCTAAAGTATCATGGTAAGGTAGTAGATGGAGCAACATGCAAGACGGCTTAGAGATCACAAAGAAATCCTCCTTTTTTCATATATGCAACATGAATGAAAAGATAAAATATCTAAACTACCCCTGGCAGAAGCCCTCTTCAATCTCATCTATTCCAAGGCTCCACAAGTTTCCAATCATGCGTATAAATTAAGTAGTAAATGCATGTTGGGCCTGTAGCTGATTCAGAGGAGCTAGTTAATATCACATGTTCAAGAGGTGGAGAGAGAGGGAGTTGGTTAGAGAGGCAGTTACCTATAGGAGGCATCTAGAAGAAGTATGGAAGGCAATTAGTGAGTGTTGTTATGGAGAGACTCTAGCCTCTCAAATGCCAGAGGAGCGGTGTGTGTGTGTCTATTTTTGTGTTTTTATGCTTATTTTCAGTATTTGCAGCTGCCTACATCATCTTTTGGCAGTGTTTGTTTTCTGTTAAATATCACTCTAGAGGTGGTTTCGATGATTGTGGTATCAGAGCAGTCCCCCCCCCCTTCCTTTTTTCAAACAAAGAAAGAAAGAAACCCTGGTGGGTATTGAGAGGGAATATCTCAAGAAGAACTTGCAAAATGGAGGGTGGAGGAGATGTTGAAGAATTGTATGGAACATGTAGATAATATGATGATAGAGACGATAAATGCTATGAAGGAAGATAGAACACTACCAGAGTATAATGTAAGCGACTGGAAAAACTATAATTCAGTATAAAACACAGAAACAAACTCACTCCAACGCACATCAATCCTCTAGCAGTCGGGAGGTTAGAGTCTCTCCCAAACAACACTCACTAATTGCCTGTCATACTCTTATTTAATGCCTTCTGTAAGTAACCCCCTTCTGGCCAGCCACACCCCCCCCCCGGGGGGCGCCTCTTATTCATCAGCTCGACCAATCAGTTACAGGCCAACAATGTACATTACTTGGCGATACATTATTACCTGCAATGAAATTTTAAAATTGGTATATGTATTTTTTCTTTTCTTTCTTATGAGATAATTGAAATTTTCGTGCCACTGATTTCTGTATTTTCCATTTTTCTATCTAGAATGAGCGTGGTCAAGTTGAAGTTTGGTCTGAGAAATGCCTTCCTCCAGGGACCGTGCACTTGAGGTTTCCAAAGGCATTTGCTGTTGCAAAGAGGCTAGAAATTGATTATGCGTCTGCCATGGTTGGTTTTGAATTTAAAAATGGCCGTTCACATCCTGTCTTTGATGGCATTGTGGTGTGCTGAGTTCAGGGATGTTCTTCTAGAGGTACTTATTCTTTTGCTTATATTTTTCCTTTTGTTTTTTTCAAGGAAAGAAAGAAAAGAAAAGGGAAAGTGTTGAAGGTGAATGAAGGAGACTTTTGAATTGTTTAGCATCTCATACAACTCCTTATCTCTTCATTTATAAAACCTTACTGCATTGTGAAGTATGGTAGTTTGGGATTGTTTGCGAGAAGGCCAAGAGCTCATTAATTTATATGGATCTTGATGCTTTGGAAACCCTTTGACCCATCTTCAGTGTTGTTTCTAAAAAACTTAAAGTATACCTTCCTCTAACTTTATATAAGATTTTAGTTTGGTCCCTTAATTTACAAAGTATCTTTTCAAACCTCTAACCCTAATATCATTAGTTTCGAATGATTATTTTTTGTGTCAATCACTATTATTTTACAAAATTACACTTAATATGTTAACATTTAAGAATATTTTGTCAAATATTTAAAAGTTCAAGGAATCTTTTGCTAATAAAATTAATGGTGTTAGGGTTAAAGGATTGGAAAAACATTTTATAAATTAAAGGACCAAAATGAAAGTTGGTGTAAAGTTAAAGGACTAAAGGTGCATTTTAGCCTTCTATAAATGACTAGACTTGCCTCCTATAGAATTAAAGTTTTCCCTGATTTTCATGTTAATGCCACAGCCTTTATTATTATAGTCTGATTGCCATTGTCCTATTCTTCTCACTTCTTTAGGCATATGCTGAGGAGGAGGAAAG